CGCGAGGAGCGGCGCTTCCGGGTCTCGCGCCGCTTTGGCTCTCGCGAGAGAGAGCGAGACATGGCGGAGCCGACGGCGCGCGCGACAAGGTTGGGGAGGGGGCGGGTACGTTAGTGCTCGAGGCCGCGGTGCCCGCACTGCGCATGCGCTCAGCCCCGGCCGGCTCGTGGTTCTCCTCCTTCTGCCTCCCCGCAGTGCAGCTAATGGGCTCGCCCGGGCTCCCCGCGCTACAGACGGCGGGCGAATCCAAACTTCGCGGACGGGGGGGAGGGATGACGGAGCTGGGTGCCTGTGCTGCCTGAGGGAAGAAGCGCCATAACGCACACCGGGGCTGGGGTGGGCTCCCAGCATGGAGAGCTCCCAGCACCCCGATCCCTTGGGACACGGGCTGCACCGCCCCCTGGCTGAGCGTCCCCGAAAGAAGCAGCAGCCGCCCCTCCCTCACCAAGGGGAGGTGAGGGGGTCCCCGGGTCGGGGTTAGGCCCGAGCCCCCCCGGGCTCCCAGGCCACGGGCGCGCAGGGTGGGAGTGGGATGAGGGTTTGTTTTCCAAGGGGGATTTCCTAAGGCCCAGAGAGAAAACCACTGCTGTCCTGGCACGCGTTTCTCCTACGGCGTAGTGCGTATCAAGCTCATGAATTGAGCAAGTTCTGCTTCTTCCTGGAGGGGCTTAGAAGTCATTTAAATTCCTACTACACCTGCAGACTTTTAGTCTGGCTTCTCCTGTTCCAGGAATGGAATTTAAATTATGCTAGCAGCAGAAGGTTGTAGCTGGTACAGCAGCTACTGCTTGTGTAACACGGCTTCCAGCACTTGCTTTGCTGGCTGATGCTGATGGCAGATAGGCAGTTCATTTGGAAGCTTAACTACTAATTAAGTTTAGGTAGGATTTCCTTTCTTTTAGACTGCCTTCCTTCTGGACAGGGTTGCATCTGTTGTAAAATATGTATGTATATATACATATGTATATATGTATGTATATATACATATGTATATATGTATATATGTTCTGGTATTGGATTATCTGCCCACCATATGGGAATCTTTCCCTGAATCTCGGCTACTTGCCCAGCATTTTGATCAAAGTATCTGGAAAAGCAGATACTGGTATCTTTCACGTGTCAGACACCATTCAGTGTCTCAGGTTTAGTGTTCATGCCTCAGCAGAAATGTTACATTTAGAAAGTAAGAGGGTTTTTCAAATGCTGCTGTGTCAAGTGACCTTGCTGCTGTCAGCATCTTACTACATTCTTTTTATTGGGTGTTATTTTGATTCAGAGTTTTATCTTCAGCGATGATAGAGAGTTACCGTTTTGACTTAGCTCTGCAGTCTCTGGCATTGTGTAATTTATGCAACATGCAATATGCTACACTTCCAGAAAGTAATCACCTTTCTTCCCGTGGTCAGTTGAATCTGGCTTTTGTACAAGGAAATCTGTGTTGTTAGCAGGTAAATTCAGCAGGCTGGGTTACGGCACCCTGTAAATACAAGGTTAAATTTTTATTTCCCAAAAGAGTTCAGAGTAATTTTTCTTGCTCATAAACCCAGCACTTGAGGGGATGTTGAATTCAGGGGAAAAGGGAGGATGCATCTCCTCAGGCCACTGTAAATATCCACCTCGGTACTGTAATAAAAATGTGTTGCAGGCAATAATCACCTGTGATAAATTACATTTGTAGTGTGTAAAAATTTATGTGTAAAAAATAGCTGTTCAAGGATGTTTGCAAGCACTGGTGAGAAGAGCTGAAGACACGTTTTGCTTGATGAGATCAGAATTTTTTTAGAGCATGACATGGCTAATAAAGATTCAGAATAGCTGGAAAAGGCACCCTGCTCTTTAAAAAGTCCCATTATTTCTGTATTTGGGGGTTACCAAGGCTGCCTTCAGCTCCAGCACTCCAAAGCAGGTCTTGAAGAGTTCTTACATCTACACATGAATGTAGAGCTGCACTATAAGGTGGAATAAAGGTCTTTATCTCAACATTTTCACACTGGGCAGCTTGAGCTGCATGTCCTGTTGTGCCTTTTCTTTTGAGCTTAGTCACAACACCACAAGAAAACCTACTTGTGGGAATCCTAAAAAGTGAATTTACGTTTTCCTCACCCTTCTGTTCTGCAGGTGCTCCCAAAGCAACCACTGCAGTGCTAGGTGGTGGCACACATGCCCTGGCAGAGGGTGAGAATTGTGGTTCAGAGTGCAGGGAATGAAGCAGTGGGTGACGTGTGCCAAGTCCAGATTCCTCTTCAGACTTAGAGGAACTATCAGTACAGGCTTGTACAGTCCCCTTAGATGTTCCTTTCAAACACTGAAACAACCAATGACTATTACAAAACCTTTGGGGAGGGAACAAAGGTGTTCTTTTAAGTGTCTGAGCAAAAAGATTTTTTGCTGAGAAGAAATCAGACTTCTTGCATGGCTCAGCAAAGATTGCAGCAGCATTGGAGTGTCTGTGGTGGAGGCATCAGCACAGGGCACATGACAGCCAGCAGCCATTTGATTAGTGACAACCTGTGCTAGACACAAAATTGCAGCAGTAGATAAATGGCATTTACAGCCCTATGACTAATGTGCTGAGCTGTCCCTATGGGTATGAATATTTTAGAGATCACCCATGTTGGAATTGAACAGTGGTTTGAAAGGAACACTGACGTCTGAAATTCACTCTTACACCTACTATTGGCTTTTGAATGAACAGCCCTCCCCCCCCTGCAAGCTCAAATCCAAAGATCAGCTGAGGACATTATCCTTACAGCACCCCTCTCTTGAGATGCTCATTTCCACTTCCTCTGCACGTGAGTAAATAGTTTGAAGGTATCACATTCCTCTCTGTTTAGTCTGCTCCGTGTGATAAATGCCAATTAGTAGCAACAGCTAAGAATTACAACTTCTGTCCCTACCGGGGAATAGCTGGAATTGGGCAAGAGAAAGTGATGATGGAAACAATAACAGTGTTAAATGCTGTTCACCCTTGCAGAGCTCTCTGTAGTTCCAGCTCTGCTGGCATGAGGTGTTGCTGAGGAAGAGTGTGTGCTGCTTCACCTGTGAAGGGCAAACAAGGCTGTGAGGCAGAGGTGATATTCCCTGTTTCTCCTCCTGTGGAAAAATAGATCTGGAAGGTTATGATAGCAACACCCTCATTTTTCAGAGCTTAGTTCGTAATAGGGCACTATTTATGGGCTAAGTAACAGATTGGGGCCACATTTGCATAAGAAAGACCAATGCTGCTGTAAATTACATCTTGCTCTCTGCAATACCATAATTACACACTTTATGGTCTGTAAACATCATGTTTAAAGACAACTGAGTCCAAGCACATGCTAACCTATGTGTATCTTCACCTTACCCATGGAAGCAAAGCCTGTGGCTGGTTGAGGGCACTGTGTAGCAACAGTTGGAGTAATTTTTAGACTTAGTACAACAGCATGGAAAATGGACTGCTGTTTTTTTGCCAAATTCCACAGTAACCCTTATTGCTTTTAACAAATACACCTTTGACCCATTCAGTTGCACTGGCAGTAGCTAGTTTGTGCTCTAACCATGAGTTAGTGAATTATAAAAACTACTTATCTTTAGGGTGTTGGTGGCTTTTCTGTCCTCAGGTACAATGATGAAAAAACTTACCTGCAGAGATGTATTCCACGTGCTTAACTGAGTAACAGCATGCACATACACATGGGGATCACTGCCAGCACTAACAGTGACATGGCACTGGCTTCACATGACTTGTCTGGGAGGGGACAGGCAGCTCCTGCTTGGAAACACCCCTGTTGCCCTGGCCTAAACCCTCATAAAGTTTCAACAGCAGTAGTGAAAAGTGAGGAGTTGAACTCTGGGCTCTGAATAGACACAAAGGACCTCTCCTAAGCTACCATCAGCAGGAGGTGAGCAAAGAATGGGCAGCCAGAGTTCAAGGGTGTAGTAGCTTGAAAAGATACGATAGAGACTTTGAGGAAATCTTTAAAAGGCAACATCGTGTCTGTGTGAAGTCCATTGTCAGCTTTTCTAGGAACGGGGGTTCCCCTGAAACCGTGCAGTGCTTGGTAGGACATCAAACACCAGGTCTGGTCCTGTGTCTGTTCACATGGAGAGTGGCTGATATGCAGCTGTTCAGGTGACCAGGTAAGTGGTCCTGTGGTTTTCTGTTCTATATGTTCTGTATTTTCATGGGTAGTCACAGCCTTTGTTCTCCCAGGAGCAGTTTTCCACTGTCTGTGTCATATAAAGGTCGATTTCAACTTTTATAAGGAGGAGAAGCAGAAGCTTCAGGCAGGAAGGCCCAAGGAATCCCAAGGAGCTGGGGTGGGCAGCCAGTCCATCACAGCAGATGGAGCTGTTCTGAGCTGCACCGTGCAGGTCTGTGGCTGCTGGCAGAAGGGACAGGGAAAGGGCACCTGTGCTGCCTCACCTTGGGACTGTTTGGGCACCAGAAATATAACAGAACAGGCATGGGACATAAATAATAATTCACAAAAAAACCCATACAAAATGCAGCAGTTTTTTTTGCAGATTATACTCAGATTATATGGAGCGTTTTAAAACATGACTTAGACAAACTACCTTTTTTAGGAAAATTTAGTGAAAATAAGAATGAACAGTTAATGAACAGTTGTTGGGCAAGTGAAGTTATGCATGGAAATAATAATATAAAAATGTATTAAAATTCTTGTTTGACTATTGTATGTTTTCCCTTTATTGTCAACAGACTGATTGGAAAAGCAATTACTTTTACTCTGGGGTTGAGAATTTGCTTTGGATCAAATTTTGTGTTAACTAATTCCAAATAATTGGAAAGGAACTTTTTCTTTTTTTTTTTTTAAGCAGTACTAGTTCTAGCTGATATTTGAAAATAACTGCAGGCAGCTGAGATCTTCAGTGGTTGATTTGAGACTGTAAAATATGCCAACATGAGAACAGTGCCAAGCAGCTGAATGGCTTTTTTGTTTGCTGAAACAGCAATGGTTACATGAATGGCTTTTTAATGTATTTGGTGTATTCTGAACCAGGAGAGACATTACACAATAAAAAAAGAGTAGGTAGTAAGATGTTGGGAGAAACCTACTCTATCCAAGTTTTTCTGGGTTTAATGTAAATAATGTAAAATTTTATCCTGAAGAGTGGCTTAATAAAGGTAGTGCTCTGAAACACAGGGTAAGCAGATGTAAGCAGCTCTGCTTTGAACTAGAAATTTTTGCCCAAGCCAGCCTTCTGTCATAAATTGATTATTTTAAGAATACTAGACATGTGATTGTAATTTTAACTCTTTCCTAAATGCACAGAATATGTGACTCAGTCAAGTAATAGATCTTCCTCTTTCTAAAAACTCAAAGCAGAGTCACATTTTCTACAGTGCTCTGTCTGGAGCTCTTCACATGCAAAGGTTCAGCAGGTTTGAGTCAGCACTGCAGGATGGAGGAACGTCTGGAGCATCAGCCTTCCAGCTCAGTGAGATTCTCCTTTCATACCTGCCTCTCCTAATGTTGTCTGCTACAAAGTCATCAGAGCAGAATAATCTCTTTAACCACAGAAAACTATGGCCAGCACTATTTACTTTACTGTCCCAGCAGAATAATTGGATATTGGTCTTTTCAGCTCCCTACTAGGTGGTTGTGAAGATAGGGATGTGCACAGCCTAAAAGCAAATAATAGGAGTTATAACCAAAAAAAATCCAAGTGGCAGAAAATTACAGTGAAGGCTGTCAAACTGGAACTGATTTCCCAGAGAAGCTGTGAAATCTCTCTCTGTGCAGACACTCAACTGTTCAAGCCTCTGAACAACCTGTTAAGAAAGCTGGAATGGAGCAAAGCCTCAAAGGAATGGATTATTCAAACCTGACATATTTCAAGCTTTAGTAGTGTTTTCTTGGAGGCAGTGGGCACACCTGCCCTGAGAGAACCTGTGTGACAAGATGTGCACATAGTGGATGTTATGTAATGCATGTAATTGGGAGATCTTTTAAAAATTAAGATAAGATCCATTTAAATTTGGCCCGTGGCATGTTATTTATGCTGTTCTCTTCAGGCTAGCTGGTTATTTTAGGTTGTTTCTTATGGGTATTCTTCATCAGATATATTAAGAGTTCAACTGTATTTTATCAATTAAGATGTGGTTGGCAAACAATGTACGAGAGGAAAAGAAAGCCCCACAGACTGGCTGTAGTAGCTCACAAAGTGCAGTAGTGAGGAGCTCTGTGTTTGGGGAAGGACGAGAAGCCCTGGGACACTGCAGGTTCCCCAACACATTCTCATTTTAAGCAATAGCACCCTAGGGCACCTCACTCTACCTTTTTTTGGCCAAGGGAGACAAAGTGAACTTGGATTTGGTTTCTTTTTTAAGACTGCTACCAAAACTTAGCATTTCCCATAGGAGTACATCCAACCCTATTGTTAAAATAAGGGCCTGGGAGTTGGCATCAGGGTTTAAAGTTTCAAATTCCTTTTTGCCTTATTTTTCTTTTTTCCTTCTCAGAGCTGTCTAACATCAGTTTCTTCCACTAAAGTGTGTGGTATGGTGGGCTGACCTTGCTCTTTTGTGTCTGTAAGCAGGAAGAAGGTGTCTAATTTTTCTGTGTCATGCCCTTTGACCTGCATACTAATATGTAATGTAACAGAGCTGGAACACCTGCAAATAAACACAATTGTATTTGTAAGAACATACCCAGAAGGCTATAATTTCAAATCTAAACCTCCTGACTAATACAGGGTTTCTTTCTGACAGTTTATTCCACCTTTCTGAAACGCTGCAAGAAGAGTACTCCCAAGAGGCTTCCCTCTGTCATCAAGGTAATAGAATATCATCTTCCTAATAAGTAATTTTCCAACTGTTTCTACCCTAAACAGGGACCTTTGAACCTTCTCTGTGCTTGCCTTTGTACTTGAGGTAGCAGTTTGCCTGTGCGTGAATATTCTGCTGAGTAGGAAAGGCAAAATGCATTAAATTCTGCAATCCTCAGTAATCTGACTGTCATATTATTAGAAGTTGTGTGTTTATTCTTAAAGACCATGTGAAACCAAGAAAACATTAAGAAATGTTTTGTTAACTTTTGCTAATCATATTTTATGATAAGACTGCAGAAATATAAAAAGAGCTATGCAATAATCTCTAGAACAGCCAGAACATAGCCTGAAATACAGAACCCTTCATGGCCATGGCCAGCAGTGATACCCCAGCAGCTACTCAAACCTTGGGTTTGATTTACTTTTTAAATTTCTTTTAACAAAACCATCAACAAATGGTCGAGCCAGAGCTAAACACAGAGAGATTTATTATGAGATGACCACATGCCCATTTAGAACTTTAACCCTCTAAGTGGCCATAGCAGGACTTGAAGCAAAGATGATTTTCTTACTTACCATGTTCTTAAGCTGTAAATCACAGTTTGAGTGAAGTTTGAGAGAGGGGCTTTATTGTGTTAATTCTCCATGGCACAAACTCACTTTGTTTTCATCCCTGTTTGTTTAATTGCATGTTGTCATTATGGAAGAACATATATCTCACATTATCATTTACTTACAGCCTGGGAAGGGCTGGGGTAGGTACTGGGTGCTGCAATGTATTCCTGGACCAGATTAAGGGTGGAAGTCTTACCACAACACACCAGTGACACAATCAAAAGCTTTGGTTTTGGCTGTTCTCTTATTTTTCTTTGTTATCCTTGCATCCCTGTTAATCTTCTGGGACACTACTAACTCCTCAGGAAATAAGGGCATTTTCCTTCTCAAGAGCTCAGCTTTGCTCGATGGCCAGCACATGAAGGATGGAGCAGGACATGGCACAGAGAGTAAATATTTTACACTTTTACTACCAAACTGCAAGTGGAGGGGATTTGTTGTTGTGAGCACTATATTCTGCCACTCTCCAGCTGGACAAGATTCACTTACTTAGATCACCTTTTATTTCAGATGGAAACGGATTCTGGATATTCCTCCACTGCTGAGCTGCAGAAGCAGGTAAAGGCTCAAGCTCATCATTTAAAGGAAGACTCATGCAGGTGCTTTGGAAGGCTGAATCTGTTGAATCACCTTCTAAGAGAAGTGACAGACACATCCTCATTCCGAACATTTTAGCATAATTAGGAGCTCATCTCTTATCACTAAAGCAACACTTCCCCAGCATTTTTCCCTTCCAGTGGACTCCAGCTACAGCAGCAAGTGGGGAAGGACCTGTTATCTTTGCTTGCATGGCAAGAACTCACCACAGTCCCCCATAAAGCAGAGGCCATGCCACCTCACTGGGCCTGGTCCTCAGAGTGGTCCTGACAAATTCTTACTGCCAGCTGATATGCCCCAGTCTCTTTACCTGGCCAGCAACAACTGTTGCTGCACTTAAGGAGTTTGCCAACTTCTACAAGCACTTTAAGAGCAAGAACTCAAGCAATCCATTAATTAGTTTGGAAACTACTGTGCTGTAGCTGTTGGCATGAGGAGAAACAGGGTATTAAGCACTTGGACTTGATGAGCAAGATTTTTTTTCTATGTAAACTTCTTTACTTCTACATTTCATGTAATTATATTGTGTGGGATTCATGTAATCACTTCATCATATGCAATAAAAACACAGCCTCAAAACAAGACAGTTTCTAGCCAGAGGGCTGTTAAAACAGCTGAAGTGCTGAACTTTAGCTCCTCTCTGTCCCGTCTCAAAGCAGGACATGCACAGTGTCTGTGAATATTGGGAGTTACTAAGGTTTGAAACTCTTGAGCTGGAGGATATTAAAGCAACTGAAACCTTATTTGGGCTAACTGGAAATTCTGACACTCGTAAGACAGAATTTTTTTTGGTATGCTCTTCATCCCAGGAGAAAAAGGATTTTTAGGATATGAGTCTGTTAAAAAGCTCAGAGCTTTCTATAGCTTTCTGTATACCTTTTTTTTTCTAAAGAATATGTAAGTGATGGTCCAAGGTCTAAAGATTAAGTCTTACATCAGCATACATTGGCCATAACATGGATACAGCTGGAAGTATGAAACTGCTAAGAGAGCAAATCTCTGGTCCAGGATCCAGCAGGCACTATCTGATGCTGGAGGAGAGGATTTTGCCAGCCTGGCATTTGCCCTTCGGTACCCCCAGTGATAACAGTGGCAGCTGATTGCACTGCTCTCACATAAACCCATAGGGTTCACAAATATCAAACTGTAGGGCAAGAGTCCTGTCAATTTCTTCCTCCCTATCTGCTTTTTCAATTAAAAAAAAAAAAAAAAAAAGAAGGAGGTGATAGGAGGAAATGGTTGGGTGTTTGTTTTAATAGTGAATGTTTCAATGCTAATGAGCAAAGTTCTTTCCTGGGACAAATAAATATTGCTTATAAGTCCTGGGCCACATTTAATGTTCTGTAGCTGTTAGAATCTAAAAGCCATGTAAAGAGGATTCCTTTATATTGCATTACCCTAAAGCACCTGCATTTGGCATTTCTCAGAGCTGCCTCTCTTGTTTGTCCTCTCTGACGGGAGGTGAGCAGCTATGAATCACACTGTTTTCACTCCAGTCTGTTTGTGCAGCACAACATCACACTTAAAAAACAGGAAGGACAGAGGAATGAAGAAGACAATAGCTGGTTATTATACTATTGCATTGATTTTTTAAAAAACATTTACATTGCAGATAGATATAATTTGTATTCACTCACAAAAACCAAATTAATTGCACTCCAGAACCAATTCCAACTTGGACTACTCTAAAAGACAGATCATTAATTATAAATTTGTTATATATTTGCTAAACAACTTTGTTTTGGATATTCAAATGTATTGAATACTGCTTTTTGAATATACTTATTCCTGTTAACCAGGTCATCTGAGCACAGCAGTTCTTGACTGCTGTGGGGAGAAAACACTGCATCGAGGGAGGGAGAAAATACTGAGGGAGGGAGAGAGGTGCAGAGATGAAGCACCATTCCTTATTGCCTAGTGTTCCTTTCACACTGCTCTGAGTTATCCAGGGGCCCCTGGAGTTATAGCCTTCCAGGTACTGAGCAGCATGCCAAATAAAAACAAAGAGAGAAAAAAAATCAGTGGTCCTTTCTCTCTCTTTGGTTATTCCAAAGAAATTCCACATCAGTCATGCACCAGGTCTGTGTAAGCATGACAGATGGATGATTACACACAATATCCCACAACAGCTTTGTTATTGTGCTCTTCAGAATGTGTGTGAAGCAAAACAGGCCATCACAGGACTGCCTTCATCATTTCAAATACCAAAAATGCCAGGACAGCACACAGCAGCACGTGCTTACTCTTGTTGCTTCTCACAGGGAAAGAAGCTCTCAGATGCCTTGAGGATCAGTGCCTACGTCTTCAGTACAGGCCTGCTCATGTTCACTGCCTTAGTGAACTCTTGCTCTTGGTAAGAATGTTCAAGCAAAGCAGCTTGAGGAGAAACTGTTCTGTGGAAAGGGGGGAAAGTGGATGAATAGATGGGCAACCAAGCACTGTTATTCCCACAGGTTTATGCAGAATATAAATTTAGGCAATTTCTGGCAAACAGTATGGTTGGAGTTCTACGACTATATGGAGGGAGATGAGTGGACAATCTTCCTCATTGGTGAGTTTTAACAATGCTCTTCAGGAGAAGAAGTCTATTACATATAAAAGGGAGACATGGACAAGCTTCCCAAACTCATTAATCCTCCTACTGACAAGCACTGGCTTGGAAGGTAGCCACAACTGATGTGCTGCAGCTGTTCTGCTTTTGGATGGGGTCACCACCAGAACCCTGTACAGATTAAAAATCTGATCTTTTTGCTGCTACTAAAGTGGCTTCCCTGTGAAGACACTTTGCTCCTGTGTGAACTGAATGACTCAGTAGAACTAATTACTAAAAATGTAAGTAAATTTAGTGAATTCTGCTCTTGCTGTAGTACTTACAAAACTCTGTGATTAGCAGCTGGTGAACAGAACTGGTAGGGACTTTGCAAGGTTCTAGAGATCAACTCAACCTTATCCTACTTGGATTTAAGAGCAGCAGAGATCTCCCAGCCACCTAGAAAAGCTTTCTCTTAGCTTCAGTTATGTCAAGTTTCAACCTGAGATATTTGTCTGCTCTAACCTCCTTCCCATTCTTCAGTCTTACCTGGATGTCAGAACTTACCCATATTCCATTTTAAAGCATCTTGGGGCAGAGGACACTTGACACATCTGGATCCAAGCAAGGTCCTCTGGGTACTATGCCAGTGTATTTTGTTTCTGATTTAGCCATAGTTCCCAATTCATTCACACATCTCTGCCCTTTCCTCATGCCACAGGGGCTGCATTGGTGCCTGCACTTGCTTTCTGGGGCTTCAATGGAATCCTTCTGGTGGCTGATATAACAGGAAAGCCAACTTTTATTACTCGCTATCGCATTCAGCTGGGCAAGAATGATCCTGTAAGTACTTCTCACTCTGCCTTTCCTGCTGGCTAAACACTTCCTGCAGTCTCTTAGGCCAGGAACAGGGAGAAGAACCTGTTTTGCTTTTCTCTTGCAACCAGGTAGGATTCCAGGAGGATCAAGCCAAATCTTGTTATACCCACTGTAGGGAGGAAGGCAGATCCTGTTATGAGGCTACTGATCAGATGTGCATTGTTTAAGAGCTGATCCAAAACTAACTGACAAGAAATCTTACAGCTTTTCATCCTTCCAACTAAAACTGCATTGCTTCTTTCATAGCCTCAAGTGCTGACTTCTCTTTTGCAGGTGGACACAAAGAAACTGTGCAAAGCCATCTACACAGTGCTGGGTAATCAGTTCTTTATCTCCTTTCCCATGCTTGTGCCCATGTTCTACGTCATGAAATGGTGGGACAACACCTTCAGCAAGGAGTTACCAACCTTCCAGTGGTTTCTTGTGGAGCTAAGCATTTTTACTGTAGTAGAGGAAATTCTCTTCTATTATACACACAGGTGAGCTGAGCACAGCTCAGGACTCTTGATTTTCTTCCTTTAAGCTTATACTCATATCCTACAACAGCAATAATCCTTGTCCCTCTGTTCCACCAGTCTTGTATTTATACGGAAAATCTTACAGGTCCTGAAACCCACCCTCACAACAAGAGGCCTTGGTGCTGCCAGTAACTGTAGGAAGCAAAAATGGGTAGAATTTTAAAGGTGGACCAGCTTAAAAGCTAAGGAAGAAACAAAACAGGCAGTTTTACATGGAAATAACCCAGCAGTCTTTGAAAAAAGAAGACTGATTATCCTGAAAGACAAAAATCTCAAGAGTCAGTGACTGATGTCTGTTCCCTTGTGCAGCACCTACAAATCAGGGCCTGCCTCCCAACACTGCAAGATTTCCAAGCCCTGACACCAACATTAGAGAACAGAAATAAAGCAAGGAAAACAAAAGAAGCAGAAGCAAGAACAGTACCTTCAGAAATCTGTAGGATTCCCTTTAGGACAAATGCACAAAAAAAATGTAAATGACATTTTTTACAAAGGATTCATGAAACCGAAAATTCTGATTCTTTGATAGTTGCTGGTAGAAAAAGCCAAAACAGTGAAAAGGTAGATTCTTCCCCTAAGTACTCCTAGATTTGAGTAAATAAGTAATTCAGTGACTTTGATTTATGTAATTTATCTGGAATGAGTAACATCAGCCAGCAGACACATTAATTGAATAAGGGCTCAATACAAAGAGAGCAAAGGAAGCAAGGAGTCCTACACTCTTATTGCCAGCTGCTCTGGAATCTTTATGTTAGAGGAGACACAAGCAAGTCCCCTGCAGAAATTCTGTGTTGTTACTCCTTTTTTGCAGAGCTCAAAACCTGCCTTTCTCTGTTTACTCTCCCTAGGCTTGGTCACCACCCAGTGCTGTATAAGCACATTCACAAGAAGCACCACGAGTGGACAGCCCCCATCGGTTTGGTCTCCATTTATGCTCACCCAATAGAACACATAGTAAGTGGATTCTCCCATGGTCACCCTCCAGGTGCTGTGTGGAGTGTGATTTCAATGAGATGAGGTGGAATGGTAAGAAAAGAGAAGTAAATACGTCCTTAGAGGCTTCTTTCTTAGGAAGAGGAAGCTGAGCTGCATTGCCAAGAAGCTGGGCTCTAGGGGAGTTGCAGTAATTGTTTATACTGGACTCCAGTAGCTTTCAGAGCACAGATCCTCCAGTAGATAAGGAACTGACTGGACAGGGCTTCCCATGAGCCCCAAGAGGACTGGGAACACAGACAGTGCTTTCAGCAAGAGATGTGACACACAGCCTGAGTGGTTGTGTGGACTTGGGAATCTGTCAGGATTTTTGTGGTGGTTGCTGGGATCAGTGTTTGCAAGGAGTGTATCCCAGTACTCCTCCAGCTGAGACTTCTCAGGAAAACACATCCCACCTTCAAAAGCTTCCACTTAAAAATTCTGTCTCCTGTTACCAATAGTCCTGGGCTGCAGCACCAGCTCTGAGGCTGTCCCCAGCTGACACTCTGGACAGCACAATGATTGAGGAGCCCAGCTGAGCTGTGCTGGTGCATGCAGCTGGATCTGGGCAGCCAGAGCCATCTGTGCCACAGGCAGGACACACTGAAGTGCAGCTGGGTTTGTCACATTGCTGTGTGTGTCTGCAGGCCATGCCCTTTGACATCGAGGTTTCCCAGGAGCAGCTTCAGCATTCCAAGGTGAAGCTGAAATTCACACCTCAGACTCCAGGGTGATTTACTGGAATCATGCTGTCCTCAGCCATGGTTTGGTGTCATGTCTAACTTGTACTGCAGGCTAAGGGAGCTTGGGCTATGGCAATGTTTTACAGTAGTAGAACTCTCTTATCTCTATTATTACTTTTTGGATGATTATACACTTACACTTTAGTAAGGTGTTTGCAGAGGGATCTTCCCTTTACACTGTTTACACAAAACAAACCAGTGTGATGGATCACCAGGTGACAATTCAGCTCCTAGAGGAATTGTGGACCCATTAATGAGGTGCTTTCTTCTCATTTCCAGGTCTCCAACACTCTGCCTGTCATGACTGGCCCGATGATCATGGGATCTCATATTGTTTCAGTTTCAGCATGGTTTTCCATTGCTCTTGTAACAACAAGCATTTCTCACTGTGGCTACCACCTGCCCCTCCTGCCATCTCCAGAGTTCCACGACTTCCACCACCTCAAGTATGTCTGGGCACTGCTCAGCTTCCCATTCTCTTGCCTCTCCTGCCTGTGCCCTGGTACCACTGACAGGGAAAGCTCCTTTCTGAGGATCAAGTGGGTTTGCCTAACTCGTGCACCAGCAGAGCAGCTCTCCAGTTCACCTGAGAGCAGGCTGAGTGCTGCCAGTCCTTAGAGCAGTTAAACAGGGATTTCAAGGCATTCCAGCCCTGTTAAGGACAGTTCTCTGCAAGGTTCTTCCTAGAAGTTCACAATACTCTTCATGTGATCTAGACAAAGCAAGGGCAAATCACACAGGTGAAATAAGTGAGCCTGCCTGTCTGTCCCTCTCCCACACACTAGGATTAGTAACACTGACAATCAGCATTAACCCTTCCTGACTAGAGATTCTCAGCCTCCTGTGCTAGAGAGCTGCAGCAGACTGTTCAAGGATACAGACCCAAGCACTGGAGAAACATTCCCATCTCCCAGTGGGCACTACATTCAGACATATGCCCCAGAAAAGTCTGCCCCTGCTGCAGACAGTTCAGTCATCACATGCCAGGACACTCTGGGTGGAACAGCTGTGCCAGCTGGAAGCACATCTGCTGCACATCCCAGGACAGCCAGGTCCTGAGAGCACATGGGGCACAGTAATGTGGGTGTCCAATGCTCCCACAGCTCTGAGCTGCCCAGGAGAAACAGCTGCTGCTCAGTGCCACCATTTCTGGGCAATGATGGCACCAGAGAGAAGCTGCACAAGGTTCACCCAGGCTTCAACAGAGCTGCCAAGGAGACTGGTGCAGGGGCAGAAATCCCACGGACAGATTATCAGGGCTCAGAAAGGAATGGAAAGAGGAAGAGCAAGGTAACCTCAGTAACTTCCAGTGACGTTTATCTCTGTTTGGTTCTCAGGTTCAACCAGTGCTACGGAGTGCTGGGAGTGCTGGATTTTCTGCATGGCACAGACAAAATGTTCAGACAAACCAAAGCCTTCGAGAGACACAAGATCCTACTCGGCCTCACGCCGCTCTCTGAAAGCATCCCTGAGCCACCCAAGAAAGCTGAGTGAACCAGCCCAGCACCTCCTGCCCAGCCTGGTGATGAGCAGACAGAGACAATGATTTATGCCAAATAGTATTTTAATCAGGAAACAAGTTCTTGTGCACACATAAAACATAAAACTGAAGTTAAATATGCTGCTTGAAATGACTGCACTTTTGCTGCCACTGTTTTCTAAGACAGTCACAAAAAAACTGCTCTAGAAGTCTGTTTTTAAGATTTAATGGTTTATTTCTCTGTTACCTGCACTGTCCCTTGGTTCCAGTTGTCTGTGTATGAGCCAGGTGTATTCTGGGCCACATGACTCAGGGTTCTCACTATTAAGGTTTTAGTACCAGACTCTGCAGGTGAGGATTTGGCCTCTCTTGTCAGCACTCACTCTAAAGAAACGTCAGTCACTCCATCAATGTGTGCAGAGCACCTGGGACACAGGCTGCAACCCCATGGAAAGTCACTGGGGCCACAGCTTTAGAAACACCCCCCTGCACATGCAACAAGAGCCTGAGTTCTTGTTCAGTTGCAGTTGTTATGCACAGGAGGGGGGTACAGCGCTGAACTGGGGCTGCCACAACCTCAGCACTGCTCCACAGACAGCTGCAGACAAGGGGAGTTTCCCCTCGTGGGACAGGGAAGCAGAGCTGGGAGCCCCCAGAACAATGTGCACATTCCCAAGTACCCACAGACCATCCAAGATATACTGTGAATCCTCTCAAGGATCTTCCTAAGTCTCAGTCCTGCCTGGGGGCCTGGAACAAAACCATCTCATTTCTCCCCAGTAGAGCAGCCCCTCGAGGAACAGGCACACAGGGTTGAGCTGTGCTGCACTGACCATTGGTCAGCCCAGCTCTACCTGTGGAACCAAGGTCACTTCCCCTGCTCCTCTCTGGTCCCCACAGCTGCACCAGGACAAACCCAGCCCAGTCACCCACCCTCAGTTACCTGGGGAGGGCAAGTCAGCAGAACAGAAAATCCAGGCACCACTGTCTTTTGAACTTTTTATTTTTATACATTTTTTTGTATTAAAAAGGAAAAAGCATAATTACCACAAATTACAAAGGACTAAAGCATTACTAGAATAATGAATCACATCAGCCTAGAAAGCAGATACTCTGAATAATATTAATGTTATAATACAAGCTTTCATTCAAGTATTTTACATTTTTCTCTTTTCCTTTTATACGTGATGATGATCCTAGCACATGGGTCAAAGATTATGTACTATCAACAGAGATGGATCATGTACAGCGGGCCGTATTAACAAGATTTTCCTCCCAAGTGGATACATGGTCTGTGATGAGTCATTTTAAGTTTGTCTCTACTATAAATGCAGCTGAAGAAGGTTGCACACACTCTCTAGTTTTGGGAAACAGAAGGCTGAGGTTGGACACAGGGTTTGAGAAGGGCCAGCACATCGAACCACCACCCCTTTAGCTCCAGGCAAGTAAGCAGAAGGCTGCACTCGCTGGGATGTAGCTCAGTGGGTGTCTCAGAGCCACAGATCCAAAGGTTTCCAACCCCAGTGGGACCAGGACAGGCTGGGGGGAAAGATGGGCAGCAGGGCTGCACCAGGGGGGCTTGAGGGACCAAGTGGTGCCAAGCACCCCCTCCCACGAGGGGCACCACTGGCAGAGCCACCCCGGTGCAGGGCTGACACCTGGGGAGAGAGCAGGAGGACAGCTGGGGAGCTGGAGGGAACCCAGCACGCTCCACAGGGGCCAGCTGGCACCCAGGGCACTCCCTGCTCCTCTGGTGCTTCCCACCAAAGGGATGTGCTTGTCACAGATACATCGGTCCTATGTTCAAGTGTCTGCAGAAAGTGAAACTGTAAACTACTCCTGGAAACGCTGCCCTCCAGCCACCCGCTCCACACCACCGAGATGAACATTTGCTTAGAAAAACAAAATGAAAGAAAATCTTTTATCTGTTACCTGTATTGGAAACTTTAAAAAGTCAGTGAGGCATTTAACATCAAGTGTAGCAACCCTCTCAAGAAGAACCCAGCATTCATTTCAAACAGTGACAAGTGACATAACCAGCCTCAGAGGAGACAGGAGACAATAAGCATTGCAAACACAGCTTGCTACATTTACAGTTTTCTTTTTTTTTTTTTTTTCCTCCTTTTGATAAAGTAACTGGAAAGGCATTAACAGCTAGAAGGCCCCCTTTGCACTGCCATGTGGAACGTGGCAGGACACTGAGGTTAAACACATCAGTTTGTTACAGTACAACGACCAGTCCCGAGCAGGTGCCGAAACTCGAGGGACCCCAAGGGCTACGGTGAGAAGGTGCCATCAGGGGTGACAGGGGGGCAGCAGAAGAGATGGACAGGCAAAAACAGAGCAGCAGCATCATTACTTTTCTAATTTTTTTCCCCCAAATGAGCACGGCAAAGCAACAAAGCCTCCTCAAAAGCACACCTTCCACCTCCACTCTGACCCCACACCACAGTTCTGTACCTGTTGCAGCCACCTGCATTCTAAAGACAAATTAACCTCAGCAAGGAGCCCTAAGCTCCAGCAGCCTCGAGGACCTCCTGGGAAGAGGGGCAGGATGAGGAATGTCCCCCTGACTCAGCCTCCCTCCCTTTCCAGAAGCAGCTGGGGCTCCCCCCAGGCTCTGCCAGTGGCTGGACACCAGCACCATGCAGCCCTCACAGGCTGTGGGACAATCAGCGCTCACAGGAGCACGCGTGCAACCACTCAATCCTCTGAAATTCAAAACAGCACAACACATGGTGGAGGTGAAGCACCCAAACTAAAAGCAAGGCCTAACTCCTTCCTCTACAGAAGGGCAAGAGCTTCCTCAAATGCAACCCCCCTCTGGACAGCTATCCCTTTATTCAGTGGAGACATGAGCCCTGCTGCAGCCACTCCTGACCCAGCCGGGCACGGACCACGCACCCAGGGAGCTCCCTGCCCTCTGCCAGCACCCACAGCAGGAGGAACGGGTCTGTGTTCCCTGCCCTGCAGGAAGACAGGTGTGAGCCAGCAGCAGCTGCCTCAGGCTGTCACATCCATCTCTGCTCTGTCCTGCCCACTGCTGTCCCACAGACAGCAAAACAAGGCACACGGTCCACACACCTGGAGGGCACTGGGACCGCTGGGATCGCTCTTCTGACCCACCTTCCCCTGGGTGCTCACACTAACGTGACAAACCACTGAATGGCAGAGGGGGAAGGGAAAACACTTCCATGCCAAGACTAGAGCCTCAGGATCAGAAATTAAAAATTATTTAAAATCAGTATCTTGGGAAATGTCTACCTCTTCTACAACCCAAGCAATTCCACAGTCTGCTCTAAAAGCAACAACTCCATAGCAGCAGCTCATCCCTTCCCATTTCCTATTAATTTGTTGCTAAAATGCAGACAATTGGCTTCAAGAGAGAACACACACCAACAAAAGGAGCACAGACACAGCAGCAAGGAGTACCTGTGGCACATCCAGACCTGCCTCCACTTGCAAACAACCAGCAACACATCTACGATGTCCTTGATCGACTCTCCAGCCTCCTTCCCAAATCAGAGACACCCCTGCCTATATACATAACCTCAGAGATCTGACTCCAGCTCACAAGAGGGGAAATCCAGAGATAACAGTCACGGCCACAGCACTGTACAAGTGTTACTTTTTCCCATCTTGCCCAGTTCCCACCCCACAACCCCAGAGCATTGCTGCCATAACGGAGATCCACGGCCTCGGATGGGCTCGCCTGCTGCAACCAGGCCTGTGAGCTGCAGGGTGACATGGCAGGGGTGCACAGACCAGGGCAGGATCACACCACCAGGAAACAGCCAAGTAGCAGCTCCTCAGCCTCTCAAACCCAGCTGTGCTTTCAATTCTAGCAGCAGTTCATGAAGCCACTCCACTCAGACCAGTCCATATGCCCCACTGTTGGGGAAGTGATGAGCTCAGCCAGGCCCCACAGGCACCCACAGCCACTGCTGATGGACAGCTTGGCCATGCTTCCCCTCTTGCTCCTGCTCTCAGTTCCTGGCTGCTCTCACCCACCCACCCTGCAGCAGCACAGAGACAGCCCTGGAGAGATGATGACTCCTCCCATATACGAGACACAGCTCTGGATCAACCGGATCCCTTGGGAAAACGCTGTTCACTACCAGCTTGTGACTTTGCAGAGTGGGCAACATCACCACCTTTGGAGCGGTGCATCACGTGCCCACTCCACACTGCACACAGGAGCACAGCTCTGGAGCTCACAAGGATGGAGCACTGGAGCCACAGCCAAGCCTGGTATCCCAGGGACCCAGCAGAAGGGGTACGGTGGCAGCAAGACAAGCAGGTCTGGCTGGAAAGGAACACGACTTTCCAGTGCTACCTCTGGAGCTGCTCCTGAGGTAGCACTGGACATCTCAGATCTCACACACCCCTCACCAAGGATCCAGCTTGCAGTCTGGGGAGGGCTTGCCTGCCAGTCCACCTGGTCTGGGGTGTAAGGATCAATCAAGTAAATGCCACAGCAGCTCTGCAGTCACCCCCTGCCTCAGTAAGGAGCTACACAGTGTCATCTCAGCCCTTGGAAACGAACAGGGATTGTGCCCTGAGTGGGAGACTCCGTGCAGCTGCCTGCCACAACAACACACAAGGAAACCCAGGCGAGAGCTCTCCTGTGCCAGGCAGGTTTCCTTCTCACCCCTGCACAAGTCCCACCAGCAGCCTCAAGCCAGTGACTGCTGTGGGACAGCTTTCCCAGGGCTGCCTCACTCCCTGTCAGGCTACAGCAGAAGCAGCCCTCGCTCACAGCCAGGAGCAGTCCCCCCAGCTGCTGTGACAATCTCCCTGCTCACTCCCCAGCCACGCTGGAAGCACAGACAGGAGCAGAGCCACCTCCCGCCAGGAAGGGCCGGGGCTGCGAGCAAGGCCATGACAGAACAGTCGCTGTGGTGGGGACGAGGCTGCCGCGGTACCAACAGAGCTGAGCGGCTGCAGCTGCTGCACGAGCACCAGTCTGGGCTGTGACTGCCCTCGGCACCTTCCCCAGGAGACTCGGGCCTGGCAGGGAGCCTCTGTGATGGGGGAGGCATCCGAGCGAGCTGCGGGGGCAGAGCGAAGGCCGCAGGGAAGATCAGCTCGGCAGCAATGCCGTGAGGAGTCTCTGGGCCTGGGGGAGCCAAGAGCCCAGTGCACCCCAGGGTGCAGGAAGCCAACAAGCCTCCCCGGTCCAGCTCCACCATAAGGCAACTTTTTTTTGTGTGTTTTTGGG